GGAGCAGAAAGGATATGTAATAGGTAGAGTTTTAGTTATGGGTGGTGGTAGGAGAGGACAGGAGGGAGAAGGGAACTGGGATTGTCATGTAAAACAATCTTGTTTCTAATTCAAATAAAAAAAATCTGGGAGAAAAAAAAAATGACTCAGAAGTCATTGGCCTGGGCCACTGGGAATAGAGAACTACTTTTGACAAGATGGAGAAGGGTGGGTAGAGGAAGATGGGAAAGGATAGATGAATAAGAGTTCAGGTTTCATCTCAACATCCAGTTGCCGTGTCTACTAGACATCCAAATGAGGAATTTGAGGGTTTGCTTGGTTGTATTCTGCTAGAGTTCATTAGACCTGGACTATTTGTGTGCATCTGTGTGTTGTGAGCTGACAAAGAGTCTTTCTAAGCTACAGTAGGAAATGAAATAATCAAAGGAGGGCATGAGACAAAGAAAAGATCAAAGGCTTTGGAAGTTGTCCAAGATGAAGAGGCCAGGGAGGTAGATGAGGAAACTTAGAACAAGTCTAAGGGAGTATAGTGCCACCACAGGCTATACAGGTCTTGTGAGAGCAGAACTTGGAACTGACCACTGGGTTTCATGGTGTGTGTACACATTTATAGCACTTTTTCAGAAGAAAGAGACAATAGGAGAGCCATCAGAAGAACACGCACAGCCTATCCATTTCCAGATTTGACCATTAACAGTAAAGCTGGTGTAGGAAATATGATTACAGACCCATCTGCTTTGTTCTGTAACAGTGACTGAATGAGCAGTGTGTTTATACTGACAGAAATGGTCTGATGAGAAGGGGAAAATGGTGATGCAGGAGGAGGGATGTTCGTAAAAGTTTTGAATTTAAACACCTCTAAATGAACTTGGACATGGCCCTTTGTCACAATCTATCCTGAATTGACCTGCTTTACTTATTTGTTTAACTTATACTTAATTGTCTCATGGACTGGATAGACACAGGTCTCATGAGGCTCTACAATAAATGGGTCAGAACACCAATCAGACCCATTCCTCCAAAGCAGATGGAGTGCTGAATGGCTAATGCAACCTCTCTATGAGGAGTTGTCTGTCAGTCTGTCTGTCTCTCCCTGTTTCTCTCCTTGGCAGTGTACTCACATAGCTGTCATACAAAGCTGATGAAAACTGACAGAAGCAGCTGGGACCTGAACAACCAGTAACATGATATCCTGAAGGTATTTAGGAATCAGGAATGAATTTTATTTATTTATTTATTTATTTATTTATTTATTTATTTATTTATTTATTTTTTCGAGACAGGGTTTCTCTGTGCAGCTTTGGAGCCTATCCTGGAGGAACAGGGTAAATGGCTGACCGCCATGGCCGGTCGCCACAGAGAGAGTGCATAGGTGAGAGAGTAGAGAGGAAACAGAGCAGAAGCAGAGAGGAAGCAGAGAGAGTAAATGGGCAGGGATCTGTCTTTTTAAAGGGGTTCTCTGCACCTGTGTGCAGACCTAGTTCCCATGGAACCTTGGGCTGACCAGGGTACTGCCTGTTGCACCAGGTAACAGGGGCAGGCCAGCATAATGCCTGAACCTTTCATTCCCACCTCTACTTATTATTTTAAAAAGGTGGGGTGTTTAGACATGGCAGGTTAAGGAATAAGGGCGTCGAATTCTCAAGACTGCTTCCTGCTGACGTGGGGGGCATTGTCCATCTTTGGGGGACCTAAGAAGGTTGGGGTACTGCCACGTCCTGGGGTAGCTGGTTGTTTCATTGCCGTCCAGGCTGTATGGAACTCCCTGATGCCTCTTAGACCTGACAAGATGTTGACAGAGCAGAGGACAAGGTTAAGTTTAGAAAAACATTTTTTTCTTAGGTCCTGGTATTTGAGGGAATATTGTAAGGTGAGGGGGGAGTTCCCGAGGTGTCCCAAGATGAGGGAAGGGAATTTGGGACCGGGTAAAGGTTGAATATTACCTGGAGTGAATCTGACCTGTTTGGATTTGATTCGGCTCCCTGGAACTTACAAGAATCCTTAGAGTTTGTAGAAACATAAGTATTAGACATATTAGCAGCTTGATAAATTTTATTTTTAAGCCTTCAGATGCATCTTGGTTGCAGGAAAGGAAAAGAGAAAGTAATGTAAAGTCAGAGCAAGTCATAAACAGCAATCAGGCAGGCTAAGGGGTTTGTCAGTGACTTTAACCCTTGATGGAGACCAGAGTTTAATAACCGTATAACCAACATTTCAGTGGTTCAGTGACTGCACAATGGCTGAGTCTAAAGCAGAGAAATACAAATCTACAACTGCCTGAATGTAGGTTTGGTAGCAGTTAAATATGGTAGCCAGCCTCCAAAATGGCCCAGCCATCTCCACCTCTTTTCTTATTCATTCCTCTCTACCTACATTCTACCATGGCATGGCAAGTGAGTGTTTGTGTGTGTGGGGGATATGGACGGAGCGGGGAAAACCTGGTTTCTGGTTGGATTGCACTGACAAAAGGCTGGAGGAAAATAAAGGGAGGATGCTTGGAGTCATCTGTATCCCTTAACTTCAGACCATATAAATGTCTCTCTTTCTTATAGTCCTTTTGGACTTAAGGATAGTGACAACTAAGGGTAGAGTCTTGTGAGTCTCTGTGGTTCCTTTACCCCATCTATGGCTTTGTGATTAATACCTTTCTAAGTAGCTTTTGTATGAGATTGGAGAAATGGTTCGGTACTTGAGAGCACTGGATGTGCTCTCAGAGGACCAGAGGTAAGTTCCCAGAACCCATGTTGTATGTCTTATAAGTATCTGTAACTCTAGGTCCAGAAAATCCAATGCCATATTCTATGCTTCTTGGGCACAAGCACACTCCCCCCCCCAAAAAAATAACATAAGCCCCCCTCTCTTTCCACTGTGTCTCTCTATGGCCTAAAACTTACTGTGTAAATCAGGCTGACCTTCAACTCAGAGATCCACCTGCCTCTGCCTGCTGACAGTTAAAGGTGTGAAGCACCATGCCCAGCAAGTGGGAGTCCTACCTAGCGTAATGACTGCTATCACCATGGTGCCAGAAGGCAGATTCAAAGTCAGGATTAAGATTCATTTGGTCACATTGTTAGAGAATCAGGGTTATTTTCGTTTGGAGAAATGACCTAATTAGTACTCAAATTGACGCTGGTGGTGGCCTGGGAAGAGTGCAATAGCATCAGGTTCTGTCCACATGGAACTTTTAAAAAAGCCCAGGAATATAGAGTTATTTCTGGACTTGGCTGCTGACCACCTCCTATTTGAAAAGCAACTCACAGCTTGGTGGTAGTGAGGATTAGTTCCCACAATCCTTTTTCTCTTATGAGCCAGCTTTTTATTGAACAGATTTCAAGAGACATTTAGTCAAAGACTGAAGTCCATGTCATCATTATGCTCTTCATTCGTGGCTCCCACTTTCTTCTCCTCCCTGGGGCAGCAGCAGTACAGTGGGCTGGACCTTTGGTTGGTGAGGCACTTGCTGTTGGAGCACTAGCTGTTGGAGCAGGTCCACCATCTCCAACATTGGTACCACCATCTCCAACATTGGTATCTGAGGGTCCCAATGTCAACACTGGAGAGGGCCTTTGCAAACAAACTGTGTCCAAAGGGGTCAATGTTAATACCAGCAGCTGCTTTAATGAGGGTGATGGTTTTATCCTCTTCGAGGGCTACTTCATCACCATGCAAAAAGCAGCAAGGTGAGCATGGAGACAGAGGCCAAGGTGTGAACTACTGGATCCATGCCAGTCACTGGATAGAGTAAGGGCCTCACACCAACATGGCCTTAGTTTCTTGAGAAAAACCAAGCACTTTGGCAGCAGTTGAGGAAAGGCAAGAGTATATTCTTTTTTAAAAAATCTCTATTATTTAATTTTTTAGTTAATTTTATTTATGTATTTTGGTGTTATGCTTGTGTCGATGCCCACAGAGGCCTGAAGAGTGTGTTGGATGCCCCAGGACTAGAATAACAGATGGTTGTGAACTATCATGTAGGTGCTAGGAATTGAACCCTGTCCTCTGGAAGAGTAACCAGTGCTTTTACCTGCTGAGCCATAGCTCCAGCCCTAAAACTAGGTTCTTGATCATGAATCTAGTTCTTATGTGATTTAACCTGTCTCTCATGCACCTGGTATTCTCTGGCTCAATGAACTGCAAAATAGAACTTATGAATGTTATCTAATAATGTGGGAGTGGCATTATGGAAGGAGCCCCCAGCACATCAGGGAAACTCTCTGATCAGGAGACCTACTCGGCTGTTACCCTTTAGCCCCACCAGTGGGGTCACAGTTAGTTCTCTGTGAGCGAAGGAAAGAGGTGTAAGCTCTGTCCTCATTTACGGATAGGTCTGCATTGCAAGCCTGTACCTATGGGAAAGAAATAGCTGCTGTGTAAGTGTCTCGTTCAGAAGCTTCCCGACTTCAGGGAGCCTGTCAGTTTTCTCACTTAGGGAAAGAGGTAGTCTGAGCCATTAACAGACATGGGGTCATGGGTAATGGCGAACTAGTTGGCTTGTTGATTGAGAACTAGGAAAAATAATGGGACGGGAGATTGGTAATCTAATTTAAAATCACATGAAGATGAAGTTTACCAGCTATCCGTAGTGAGGTTGAGAGCTTTCTTTTCATTTTAAAAGCTTTTTAGAAACTGTGGTAGGTCTAATTTAAAACTCCTGCTAATAGATTTCCTTGGAAAACACTTGTTTCTGGAAACACATTCTTCTATAGACAACACTAGCCATGACAAAAGAGATTACACTGACCATTTGTCACTCGCAGACAAAGGAAATGCAGAAACCAGGCCAGAGAGAAGAGCCTGAGAAGGGAAACCACACTGGCCAGGGTGCCAGTAATTTTTTTTTTTTGGGGGGGGGTTTGGTGACAGTTTTTTTTTTCTTCCACTACTGATGATGGCCATGATGTTCTTATGCTTCTGACATTCATGGTTCCCCTGCTCTTACCCAGAGCACAGCCAGCTTCCCCTATACACTGTCATGGACCTGTGGCTTCCTAACAGTGACAATGATCTCCTTTTCAGATAGCAACTTCCAGTCTGTTCTTTGCTGCTGCTGTTGCTGCTCAGTGCAGAAGAGGTGAGTCTGATTCTAGGGTAATTTCTTGGAAATGGGTTAATGTGGTGTCTTAGACTGTCTGTTGAGTCTCCTGTCTATGTCTCTTGCTTTTTGTCTGGGAAACATTTTCCCACTGGGTCCCCATTGAACGGCTCTTTTTCTTAAAGACTTAAGTCAAATTGTAGGGGTGATCTGGTCCTCCGTCCTTCACCCTACATACAATCTTTCCTTCCGTGTGTCTCCACAGAATGTGACATGGTTCTGCCCTTATTATTTGTTTTATATATCTGTGTTCCACTCATCAATTTTCCCCCTTAAGCAAAAGAATTATAATTATAACATTCACTCTGTGAGTCTTGCTTTTTTGGTATGTGACTGTGTAAGAATTTAATTAATCACGACATCGTGCTGGCAGCCATTTGATAAGCTCTGTGCTAAGAGGTTTGTATTTATTCATTCACATAGGTCTCAAATCCTTCCATGGTGTTTTCCTTTATAATTCTCACTTCATAGATGAGAAAAACCAAGGCTTAGAGAAGTCGCTTTGCTTTGTCTGAGGGAACAATAAGGAATGGTGGAGCTGGGTTGCACACTGTGTCCCCATTGCCCTCCCCCAAAGACTGGATTTCTCTGTGTAACAGTCCTGGTTGTCCTGGAACTTGTGTTGTAGCCCAGGCTGGCCTTGAACTCACAGACAGTCGCCTGCCTCTGCCTCCTTAGTACTGGGATTAAAGGCATGCACCACTATCGCCCAGCTATATTTGTGTAGTGTTCTTAATCATTCACCTTGTACATGTGTAACAGTAGATGATATCGATGACTGGTAAGCACTTTGCACTCTGCCTGACTGAGTATATGCTGGTTGGATTGGTTGTAATTTTAGGCCTCTCAAAAGTATCAGACTCTGAGCACATGGCATACTCTTGCAACTTTATTTCAAAACAACTCCTAGTTCACTTTCCCTTTCTAGCTTCTGGATACAGAAAACAAAGTCCTCAGAGTTGCAGTTCAAAATTTGCTCAAGGAGTTAGAACTAGGAAGATAAATAAATAGAAATAAATAAATAGAAAATTAAAAAAAACCTATTTTTAAGGTACACAGAGTGCTTTATCTCTGAAGGAATCTAAAGGATTTAGGAATACGCTTGTTATGAACAATTGCTTGTAAAATGATTGCTTTTTTATTTCTAGACAAGTGAGAACACAGATAAGTCTGAGCAAAAATGAAGAACCTTCAGAAAATTACTCCCAGCATCGCAGGCCCTGGCTCGACAAACTGAAGAGCAAGAAACATGTGAGTGTCATTAAGTTCTCTAAGGAAGTCCTGCATGTGGTCATGCCCTAAAATTAAAATCATGATCAGTACACAGTAAGAGCTCAGTAAGTGTTCTAGAAGAAAGTAAGCGGGGGAAATACAGTTAAGCTAGCATACTTCACTAGAATTGAAGATAGAATTTGAAACAAGACAGTGACTAGCGGGGAAAGACACTGTGGCTCCTGCCATCTTGGGTTGTGGGTAAAATTCCAGCTGAGTGTTGGGAGAAGGAATCTTGGGGAAGGTGGAGAACTCAGATACAAGTTTACAGCATAGGGAAGGGCAGGGGTGTGTGTGTTTCTCTTCTCAGGATTGAAGAATCACTAAAGCCAAATGAGACTGTTTCAGGGTAAGTCATCTTTTAAGAATCACAGCACATGAAACTCCAAAGCTATGCTGTCAAAATTTGTCATTTCAGAGTCACAAAATGACAATGTGTTCCTGGCCCCCACTGCTGTGTGGCGGTCAGTCATTTGCAGCACTTGTCATATCCCTGGCTTCTGCCTTGGTGGGTTGGTGGAGCTGGACAGTAGAAGTGAGATGGAGGCAGATGCACATGTCCTGTTCTTTTCTTTTCTTTTGGTACAAACGACTAAAATAATAATGGTTTTTACAGTCCAACAGAGGCGGGGCGCAACCCTCAAAACGCAAGCCGCTGCCTCCCCTCCCGCTCGCCCAGCTCGCTGAAGAGAGGATCCAGGTCAAGGCGCTTTATGATTTCCTGCCCCGGGAGCCCTGTAATTTGGCACTGAAGAGAGCAGAGGAATACCTGATATTGGAGAGGTGTGACCCTCACTGGTGGAAGGCCAGAGACCGTCTGGGGTAAGATGATGGCTGAGTCCTTACTAATCTTTTGTCAACATCTGAAGACTTCAGGATGTAAGGGAGACTCTTTGTAGTAGTTCAATGTCTCCATGTTTGTAACTTTTCCCTCTGGATGGGATAAAACAGTCTCCACATCCCAGATTGTAAGAATACAGTGACTTCGGGCAGATGCTTCAAATCAGAAACACCTGCCTCCATTTCCCCATCCCCAGTCGCCATGCTACCACTTGACACCATGTGTCCTGAGGATCACTTAGAAGGTTTTATTGTAGAATAAGAATAATAAATAAGGACAGGGAGAAGGCTCTCTACAAAAAGTGCTTGTCTCATAAAGGTGGGGGCCAGAGTCCTAATCCCTAGAACAAACAAAAATCTGGTGGGACTTGTGGCTCTTGTGTAACCCCAGCACTAGAGAGAGGCTAAGAAGTGTGGCGTCTGCGCCATGACTAAGTCTGAGTATCGGGTGAAAGCCTGGAGATTTAATTAAAAACCGAGCCCTTGGGCTAGGAGAATGTGTGTGTGTCTGTAATTTTTGCAGGGAGGGAGCAGCCTTATATACAGACTTATGGCACAGTGAAAAAAAAAAACCCAGGTATAAGAGCTCATGTTTTCCCAGGTGTGTTTGATGCCAGTGGGCAAGGCCGGCTGTAATCCAGGACTAGAAAACAGGATGCATCTGTGATTATCAACTCACGGGGACCTGGCCCGGTGGTGGCTGGGGCCCAACGTCTCTCCCAACAAAGAAGGGGAACCTCTAGAGCCAGCTGGCTAGCTAGAGTAACAGACCTTAGGAACAAGGAGGACATTGAGAGATTCTGTATCAGTATGTAAGGTAGAAATCTACCAAGGAAGACTTATAATAATCAGTTGATATCATAGTGACTAAGCTAAAAGCAGAAACTGCCAAGGTATTGGGTCCATTATTTTAATTTCTACAATGTATATACATTTTAGTTTGGCCCCCTCCTCCATTATAAGCAATGTAAAGCAACCCTTGATCATGGTCTTATACACAAGTAAGACTGTTCCTCTAAGGTGGGCTCAAGCGGGGGAAATTCCTAGTTCCCAGCAAATGGTCACCCCTGCCCTAGATATGGAAGCTGCAGATATGGCACCTGTCAGCGGGGAGGCCAGGGTTTCTCCTTTTCCTATCTGAAACTCCTCTTGAAATAACCAAAAGACAACCAAGACATATTATTGACAAACTGAAAGCAAGTTGCAGAACAAGGCTTGAAGTGAGATAGCTTTTATGTAAATTAAACCTATGACCAACACCGCATATTTCAACATGTGAGTATAGCGCATTAAAAATGATCACTGAGTGGACAGTGGTGTTCTATGCAGGAAAGATACTATTTGAAAGTAGTGACTATATGCGAGGGGGGTTAGTGAAGAAACTGCTGACATGACTTCTCCATGTTATGGTTAAGGAGTCTATTTTAGATATGAGAGAGCAGAGAGAAAAGGAAGTAGACTGAACATGGCCAGCAGACTGGAGATGGCCAGGGTTAGGGAAGTGGGAGAGAATGGTGGAGATGACAGGATACCCAGAGAGAGAGAGAGAGAGAGAGAGAGAGAGAGAGAGAGAGAGGATATAGTATGGTTAGAGAGAGTAAGGGAAAAGAGAGAGAAAAATAGATGATAGATGATGATAGACATATAGATTAGAGATTAGAGATTGATGATAGATAGATGGTATAGTGAGAATAGCAGGGTTGGGAAAAACCTTGGCATTATAAAGAGAACAAACAGGTATCTGGGAGGAGGGAATCCTGGGGAAGTACGAAGGGTTAGGATGCTATTGTGAACCTTGAAATGTGTAACAGGTATTTGTGATGCTGGGAGATCCTGGAGGCAGGCATGGGCTTTGATAGCAATCACGAATAGCCACTTCTGCCAGAGGTAATGGAAATGACTCCTTTTGGCAGGTGGGAATAGGTTTCCTAAGTTCCTCAAGAATGCTGGCTTTTATCTGACCCTCAGAAATCCTCCTATAGTACAGGTTGAGCTGGGCCCAGACTCAATTTTGAACGAGTCAGCTGGCCTGCTCTTTTGGGGGGAAAGAGGTACCCTTTGGATGTGGCAGAGACAAAGCAGAATTTTGGTAGTTTTTTTTTTATAAACTCTATATACATTTAACTATGAAACAAGAAATCTAATGGCTTATTTTTAAATCTGAGGCATCCCAATAGTCCACTTCTGTATGGCCAGTTGCACAGTCCTGAACTTACCAATGCCCTTTCTGTTCAACAATGCAAGTTGAGTCTAAACTCAGAACTGCATCCACTTTCCTTTTAAAATACATATTGGAGTTGGGCATGGTGGCACCTGCCTGCAACTGTTGTAGCACCCTTGAGGTGACACAGGAGGTCCTGGAATTTGGGCTTAGACTGAGCTACATGGTGAGATTATTTCAAAAAAAGAAAATAGCATCATAAAATCTCTTAAAATAGCTAATTTATAAGTCAGGATCTTGGTATTTACTGTATAGAGATTTTTTGTGAGTTGGAAATGAAAAATATTTTTATTTTTTTAACAGTTTAATGAGTAAAATGCTTTTGATTTACCCCTACTTCTTTGGGGTTTAAGTAATTATAGTCAATGTAATGTTACAAACCTGTCTTCCCATCTTGAGTTTTGTTTTGTTTTGTGTTGTAGGAATGAAGGCTTAATCCCAAGCAACTACGTGACCGAAAACAGAGTTACCAATTTAGAGATATATGAGTAAGTCTCCCCTACCAAGCCTGCACTGTGATTACCCTTTGAAAACCAGGGACTTGCTGGGAACTTTGAAGTATAGACAGTTTTCAGGTTTGTAAAAGAAAAAGAAAGTAACACATTTGATAGCCTTAGCAATAAGAGACCTCTGATTCTTACCATGGCTGCTTCTGAAAATCCTTCTTAAGCCTGTATTTGTTTCGTTTGGCATGGCCATGCTTTAGAAATACTGGTATACATGTTGTACTGCATGTCCTACACCGAAAATTTACTTTTCAAATGGCAGATCGGCTGCTTCTGAAAATCCTTCTTAAGCCTGTATTTGTTTCGTTTGACATGGCCATGCTTTAGAAATACTGGTATATATGTTGTACTGCATGTCCTACACCGAAAATTTACTTTTCAAATGGCAGATTGTGAATCCACAGTCTACGTGGGTCAGTTTTAGATGTTGGTTCTTGTTTTGATACTTTTTAGAATACTTTTGAGGATAATGGGTAGGCTAATAATGTTATGTGTAAGAACCTTAAGTATGCTTATCAAATTTATGCTTTAAAAATCTCCTTTTTGATAAGAATTATAACTTTGGAACAGGAATATCTGAGCAATGACTTTGTAGACCCTAACTCTTCAGGTGAAAAGGATGACAGATTAAGTTATAGGTACAAAGTGCCAGGGTCTGGAGAGTTTGAATTCATACCCACCTCCTTCCTTGGGTACTTACCTTGCAGTTAGCATATGTTTCTGACAGTTTTAAGTATGTGATAAGAGTCTGGTATCAAGTATTTTTAAGACCAGACGTCAAATACAATGGAAGAAGCCTCCTTGGCCTTGTTTCCTACTTTAGGCAAGATTCAGCACACCGTTCTCTAAAATAACTCCAATTCTCAAAGTTTTGGTGAATAGTACAGGCCTTCATGGAGCATAGATGAATATGATCACAGGGCATGTGGCACATCTAACATGGCTTTCCCAGACTGCTCGTTGGCTGTCTCTTCCTCCTTCCCATCATGCTCTTCAGCTCCATCACAAACTGTCTTCACTCTTTTCTGCCACGATGTTCTTTCTGTTGACCTGACTGCTTCAGGGAACTGAGCCACCTCTCTTAGAAAACACAGTCACATCCATTTATGGTAACTCAAGTCTGCCCCATGGAGTCTCACTGCTGAAGCTGACCAACAAAACAAGCCTAGTGTAGAGGAGAGTGCCTATGAAAATCAACCCAGAAGAATTCGAAAAAATAGGACTTTTTATTTGTATTGTTGTTCAAGTTCGGATTTTCCAGATCAGAGGAGATGTGTGACAGTGCCTACCAGTCTGGTGGTTACTGAATGGAAGGACTCTCACGATGTTCCTTTCATTTCTCTCAATGATAGCTCATTTGCTCATTGCTTCCTCTGCTCAGACTAAGTTGAGGCTCTCTGGTTCAAGGCTGTTCATATCGTAGTTACCGGATCCTTTGAATCCAACAGCTCTGGTATTAGTCGCACTCCTTTAATTCCTGCACTCAGAAGGCAGAGGCAGGTGGATCTCTGCGAATTTGAGGCCAGCCTGGTCTACAGAATGAGTTCCAGGACAGC